TTAATGCTACTGCTTTCTAAAACTAGAATTGGCATTTCTATTTTCTCCCTTTCTACTAATTTCTAAATAAGGGAAAAATTCAGTAAAATAGTTATGCAATTTATCAACATTTTTGAAAAAGATGCTGATGAAATGGTAGCAGGTGGTATGATTCATGAGCAAACATGCCACCATGTTGTAGTTTGCAATATTTACTGTTCAGAAAAATTCAAATTCAACTGAAAACCAGGTTAGAAACATTAAAGTGTAACATTTGAAAGTACAGATTAAGTTGAAGGCCAAATATTTGTGAATGCTTTGAACTTAGTAATAGATTATATATTGTATATAAGTAATCCAATTTTAGATAACATTACATATTCTAAATATTATACATGTTATTTACATATTACATCACATATGCAATGTACATATATTTGATGTTATAAATATATGCATTTATTTATGAAGAGAATAGTTTGTCTCATCACTCATTCTCACCAATGGAGTAGGATATTATATCATTGGGCTCACTGATGTTTGAGACTTGTGAACGAGGAAGGGGGTATATTGAAGGTGAAGACTTCAAGGTCTGGTTCATTGCTACCATGGATACATGTTTTTTAATCTCAGGTGTTTGTTTTTTTTTTTTTAATGCTGTTTTAGTCTTTTTGTACTTCTATAAAAAATACTATAGACAGGATGGCTTAAATAACAAACTTTGTACAGTTTAGGGGGGAGTCCAAAATGAAGGTGCCAGCATATTAGGTATCTGGTAAGGCCCCTTCCTGGTTCATGGATGGCTTCTTCTTGCTGTGTCCTCACTTAGTGGAAGGAGCAAGAGATCTCTCTGGTATGTTCTAACCACCTCTGAAAGCCCTACCTCCAAATATTATTACACTGAAAATTAGGTTTTGGAGGGACACAAAGTTTCAGTGTATGGCAAACTCTCTAAGATGACAAGAATGGCCACTTAACGAAGAGCAAATACTTGTATTTTTAACAACAGAGCATAAATATATTTCTATTACTGCTGAAATATTAGAAACCCTTACTACTAGTAAGTGGTTACTGTAGGTAGTATTCATGACATTTATAGCTTCTTATATTCTTGTCCTCTAGTTTTTTAGTACCTTGAAAAGACCAGTCTTGTCTCTTTTATTTGTGGTATACATCAGAGTACCTAGCACTGTAGATTTTTAAGAAATGTTAGTAGAAGAAGGAATGAAAGTTTGTTCTTATAACCCAGTTGTTTTTATAAGTTACTTAGTTGCATGTATGAACTGTGGATTCTTTGTGGAAAAACAACAAAAAAATAAATAACTGCAATGCTTGAGATTTAGGCATTCCACCTTTAGCCTGGTGTATTAACTAGCTTCCTCTTCATTTGTCTTTTTGTCTAATGCTTCAGAATAAAGCTATTATTTTAAGGGTGTAGATGCTCACAAGAGTCAGTTCATGTTTCCCTTCCTTTTCCTTATGCTACATAATAAATGACCAGAATGTGTGTGTTGGTAGGCAGGGGGAATGGTTGTATTATCTGAGGTTGGTTGGGCAGCAGGTGTTCAATGCTGCTTCATAGCCCCATGTTTCCTTGACATATACTGCCACTGTTCAACTAAAAGTGATCAAAATTTGTCCCTTTTCCCAGATGTAGCAGCTTCTTATGAAATCTGGTATAGTGAATAAGGGAAAAAATAATAGCAGTCATCAGTTGTAGAGCAGCAGATTGGTTACAGCAGATTCACATCAGTTTTGTTGAAGCTGTGATATATAACTGTTCATTTTATCACATCTTGACCTTTGCCTTTGGAAGAGGCTGGTAGGGGATCCTGCGAGCAGCTGCTCCATCTCCCTGATAATACCAGTTTTTTTAAGTCAGATGGTGGTTCAGAGTCCTAGAGCACTGAGATTCCCTGTTGCCAATGATTTCTATGGAGTAAGGAGGAGAGGAGTGAATGAAGCAGTGATAGGAACTGAATAGTTACATTACACAGAATAATAAAATACTTATTGGATTCTGCTAATGTGGTTAGTAATTATGTGTTCTTGATATGATTCTTTTTTCACTAACTAATGAAATGAAGCTACTGATATAGCTTATTGAACACTTTGTCAGGCACTATGCTGATTTTTATTCTAGCACTACAACTCATAATCTAGGTTTTATTATCATCACCTTGAACTCCATAGTGGCATATCTCATACAAATGTATAGAGAACTAATTTGCATTCAGTAGTTATTTGCATTCACAATGAAAACTGTATGGAAAAAAGATGGGAGAACCCCATTCTGAGTTTGGAACAGGGGTTTTTCCAAGTTTGACTCATTTTATTTTGACAGGTACACAATTCTAAGCTTTCAATTGAGAAAAGTCTTATAAAGTTGAGTTGGGGATTCTGGAAGGGCATAAAAGTGAAACAGGGAGACCTTTGAGCATTCTCTTTCCTACCTCTTCAAAATCTTCTGAAGAATGCAAGGCGATATTGCTGGTGACATGATTGAGTCATATTTGTTCTCACCTAATTTCTGAGTGTCCTAAAAAACAAACTGTGTACACTGTTTTGGAGAGGCTGTACAGATTGGACCCCACAATTTGCATTTACCAGTGTTCTTTGCTTACCTACTAAAGAATAAATTATAATTTTCAGGGATTTTGTTTGGCAGACAGAGTATCAAAATTCTGAAGCTAATTTTCTTTTTTCCCATTTTATTGATATATAGTTGACATACAGCATTGTATAAGTTAAAAGTGTACAGAACGATTTTACTTGCATGGGTATAAAATGATACCACAATAGATTTTTGTGTCACCAAATGCACACCTGAAATCAATAACTATAGATACTTTTCTGTGTCTCTATAAATAACAATTATAGTTTATAGGCATTTGGCACATACATTGTTAGTTTAGCTTTAATACACTATCTCAGCATTATGTAAATTATAGTCCTTTTTAGATGGAATGTGGTATATATTGCCTCTTGGATTATGGAAATCACCCAAAATGTGAAATGAAAAGGATAGTGAAAAATGCCTACGTATTTCACTTTAAAGATGAAAACAGTGGCTGATTTCAGTGAAAAAAAAAAGTGATCTTATGAATTAGTAATGAAAGTGAATTTACAGGTTATTGTCTTACTGGGGTCTCAGTTTTAACGGCTTCTGATAGTTTGAAATAATAGAAAACTGAACAGCCTATAATAATTTGAGTATTCATTTTGTTTATGGATTTTTTTTTAAAGATTTATTTATTCGTGCATACAGAACTGGGGTACAGGCAAGAGGCTCAGGGGCGGCGAGAGGCTTCAACCAGAGACAGAATGGGGAGCAGAACAGACTGACTGAGAAGTCCACTGCTGATAGGAGTAGTGAGCAAGTCAGGAGAGGTCTGCCCAGCCATGTGGTCTCCTCCCGGGCAGGCAGTGATCCAACTCATGCGGAAGTGGTTTAAGATTCTTTGTGCTGTGCTTTAACCCACTGCGCCACCAGGGAGGGCCTATGGATTGTTTCTTAATGGAGACACTGAATAGTATTACTTATCTTAAATTACCTCAAAGGTAGTTATAAGAATAAAGTAAGATAAGGTAAGTAAGTATGTTTTATAAACATGAAAGTTGCTCTCTTGTTCTCTTTGTGTGCCATATAAAAATCATACAATTATGTATTATGTCTTCTGAGTAGTAGTTTTATTAGTTGTTTGAAACTTCATTTTCATCCCATGTATATAACTTGTGGTATTTCCAAAGTATATTGGACTAAAAAAGTTAGATTTGGGCTAAAATATATAGTATTTTAAGAATATTTAAGCCGAAAAGGAGGACAGATACTTTAGAAGCAAGTATCATAGTAGTAACGAATGAACTAGTAATACCACTTTTTTGTATTATTTTATCAGGTACAAAATCTTTTACTGGTTACATAAAATTGTTCATTTACTTGTCTTTTTTTTTTTTAACTCTATATGCTTGAAAACAAACTGCATGTTCTCAAGACTATTCTAAAATTTAGTTATTTTATTAATTTCCTGCCCTTTTCTGCAGTTAGCTGGAAGGAGGTATGTTTTATTTTAGTCACAGCTGACAATACTAACTTTTAAATTAATCAAATTAAAGAATTCAAAGAACAACTCTCTTATTTTGTTTCTAAGTAAAGAATACATATTTTAGATAACAACTTAAATATTATAACTGAAAAACCTCATTAAATGTACTCATGTTTTTTTACTCATCAATAAAATAATCTCAATAATAATCACACATAGATTTTTCCTTTGTATCAAGGGAGAAATACAAAATAAATACAATTTGAATGATTCACATTTATCTTGTACTGTGCTGGATATTTTGGTGAGATATAAAGAAATCCCCAAATCCCTATCTTTAGGAACTTATGCTACCAAAGGCGGGATAAAAGTATTTCAGATACCACCAAAAACACTATTAAAAGTAACTTGTGGCCCTCCCTGGTGGCGCAGCGGGTTAAAGCACAGCACTGAGAATCTAAAGCCACTTCCGCATGAGTTCGATTCCTGCCTGCCCCAGAGGTGACCACATGGTGTGGCAGACCTCTCCTGACCCCCCTGCCGCCCCCGCTGCTCCCCTCAGCAGTGTACTTCGTCTATCTGCGTGTTCTGTTCCCCACTCTGTCTCTGGTGAAGCCTCTCACCGCCTCTGGCCTGTACCCCAGTTCTGTATGCACAAATAAATCTGTCTTTAAAAAAAAAAAAGTAACTTGTATTAATGCCAAAGAATGTGATTGAAAAATTACATACCCTAGAAGTATAAAAAGTCTTAAATATAATTTGTCTGGAAGATGTGTGCTTACATTTTTTTTTTTTATGTTGGAGGAAACCAAGTAGGATTACAAACTGTTTATTAAATTTTTGAGCCAAGTTCGATTCAATCTTAGTTCTGTTCACCTGTTATTTTAATAAGGAATAATCATCACTCTATTGGAGCACAGTGTATAATACTGTATGTATACAGCAAAATGTGCATTGTTCATTCTTTATTTCCAGGCATACTTCCGACAGGGTGTTGCCCTCCAGTACCTTGGACGTCATGCCGATGCCTTAGCGGCCTTTGCATCTGGTTTGGCTCAGGACCCAAAAAGTCTCCAACTTCTGGTGGGGATGATAGAAGCTGCCATGAAGTCTCCCATGAGAGGTAAATATAATGAAGTCTTTGGTCCAGCAGTAAAGTACAACATTTCTAGCTTTTGAAGATTTTAGACACAGACTTTGAGAATTGATTATTAAATTAAATAGCTAAGGGTGGCTATTTTAGACAATAAAAGATCAAGAATCACTGTGAGTAACCAACATTAATCAGGGAGAATTGAACAGAAAGAAGGCCAATGGCATGAAAGTTTATGAAGTAAGATTATATTTTTCAATGTTTCATTAATGAACCAATTACGGGTGAATGAACCACTCCACTGGGTTTTGGGATTATCTAAAGAATTCTTAATTTTTTGTTGTTGTGATAAGATTCTGTACTGCTAAATCACATTTCTAGGAATAAATTGCTTTGCTTAGTTGGACCAGTATTCTATCTGGAAATAATCAAATAAGACAAAACATTTGACACTTTAATATTTTATAAGAGTAAATGGTTCTAACTGTGTATTGTCCCTAACTTTTTTCTAAAGATTTATTATTTATTCATACAGAACTGGGATACAGGTCAGAGTCACAGGACAGTGAGGGGCTTCACCAAAGACAGAGAAGGGAACAGAAAGGGCAGATTGATGAGGGGAGCAGCGGGTGGGTCAGGAGAGGTCTGCCGAGCCATGTAGCTCACCTCTCAGGCCAGGGATGGAATTCGGACAGCTTGTAGTGCTGAGTCCTTACCCATTGCGCCACCAGGGAGGGCCCTGTCCCTAACAATTTTTAGAAGAGCAATTCAAAAAGATTATGTAGCAGTAAAAAGAAAGAAATAGAAACTAGTTTACATGGTTTTCTCCTGTTATTACTTATATTTTATACCAGCTGATACTCTGGTAAAACAGTGGATTGAAAATAGTACCAAGGGAATTGGAGGAGTTCTAAGACCCAAAACTGATCGACTTCACTTTATAGAGCATTGATTTCTGAGGAATGAGCTCTTGGGAATATTGAGTTGAAAGTTTACATCAATTGTCATCTTTGCAGAGTATAGGTCTAAAAGGCAGACTGATGGCAAATAGTAAACAGTTTCATATTAATTAGGTTATACCCAGAAGAACTCTATTTTTAGTCTCTGAAATAGTATGTTTTTAATGAACCTAAAAATTTGATGGCAGTATTATCAGATGTTTAGTTTTGAAAATGTTTGCAGCATTACATAATCTTAATAAACTAGTTAGTAAAGTACTTGGTGCAACATATATACTAAGTAAAAGTCTGATGAGCTAAATTGTTCTCAAAGTCTCTGTGCAATTCAGAACTGTAAAAAAATATTTTCCTGAAAGTCAGTTTTCATGTTTTAGAAAAAAGTAGTAAGAAAATCTCTCTTACTGTGATTTTATAACCTCAAAGGTAGAGTCTTTGCTGAAGGAACCTAATGGCTGCTCCCACTAGGGGACCTGCTGTTAATAAACTCTGACTCAGAGCAGATGTGCTTTGGAGCTCCGGGGCGTGGGGGGAAGTGGACAACAACAGAAAAATCAATCTGTCTTTTCTTTCCATTTTTTCTAGTATTTTCTTGTTTTCTCCCTTCATCTCTCCACTAGCAATTTAAATGGAACATTTTTTAAAATTTAGTTATTTTATTAATTTCCTGCCCTTTTCTGCAGTTAGCTGGAAGGAGGTATGTTTTATTTTAGTCACAGCTGACAATACTAACTTTTAAATTAATCAAATTAAAGAATTCAAAGAACAACTCTCTTATTTTGTTTCTAAGTAAAGAATACATATTTTAGATAACAACTTAAATATTATAACTGAAAAACCTCATTAAATGTACTCATGTTTTTTTACTCATCAATAAAATAATCTCAATAATAATCACACATAGATTTTTCCTTTGTATCAAGGGAGAAATACAAAATAAATACAATTTGAATGATTCACATTTATCTTGTACTGTGCTGGATATTTTGGTGAGATATAAAGAAATCCCCAAATCCCTATCTTTAGGAACTTATGCTACCAAAGGCGGGATAAAAGTATTTCAGATACCACCAAAAACACTATTAAAAGTAACTTGTGGCCCTCCCTGGTGGCGCAGCGGGTTAAAGCACAGCACTGAGAATCTAAAGCCACTTCCGCATGAGTTCGATTCCTGCCTGCCCCAGAGGTGAC